TGCATACAAATTGTTGTTGTTGTTGTTATTGCCGCTGCCGCTGCTGCTGCTGCTGGTGCCTTCTTGGCCAGTTGGCCACTTGGCCCCGTACCTAACTCCCCTTTGGGTTTGTCTGCGAGCGCGTCACCTCCAGCAGCTCCATCTTTGCGTCGCTGGTTAACGCAAACATTTTAGCCTTTTGAGCGCGTCTTGACGACAGATTTAGACGTTAAGCAGCCGCGTTAAGTGTCCCCTGGGAAAACGCGGCTAAGCATTTGCCGTGTTGACAAAACGAGCCAACGCTGAGCAACAGCTGCTGCCCCTGTAGCTGCCCCTGATGCTCATGTTGCTGTTGTTGCTACTGCCATGTTGCTCAAGTGCTGTTGCTGTTGTCGATTTTGTGCAGTCGCTGCAATTTGTATAGCCATAGATGCAATCGCTGGCACAAAATTTTAACACCATTAGCTGACCAGCGGCAAGTTTTTTTTTTCCTCTTTTTGTGCATTTTAGCGGCTCGCTTGTTTTTCTCACTTTGCTGCATATTTTCGCGCCTAATTTGCGGCCACACCCCTTAGGCCCGCCCGCCGCCGGACGTTAAATGAGAAAAAAAAGCTAACGCAACTGTCGAAATCTGTGTCCGCATGCATAAGCCAAAGCCACTCGTGGGTGCATGTGCATGTGCATGTGCATTAGCCAAGTTTATAATCTAGATTTTGGAGTGTGCAGCACAGCGCACAGCTGCACAGTGGGGCCAGCCAGCTAGCCAGCTAGCCAGCCAGCCGGCCGGCAATCGATATTGCTTTGGTCAATTTTGTCATAAATAATTCTAAAGTAGCTGCAATTTGTTTAAGCGCACTCAACTTTATTATTATTAATCGGGGCGTATATAAGCAAAGGCATATGCCACACCGTTTCCTGATGCCGGGCGTCATTCGTAAATAATTGCGATAACCGCAAAACGGGGCCGAATTACTCATACGTCATGTGTGCCGCAACAGCTGTTGAAGTGAGAGTGAGAAAGGGGGGTGCTTAGGCCTCATTTCAATTGAGAAAACCGACAATTGGCAGCGCGCACTTAGCTTTGATTGATTGCCAGCTGATATGAGTAGCAATTGCGGTTGAAGTAATTCAATCGCCAACACCCGAACCACATCAAAAGGCCCCAACAGCAGCAGCAGCAGCAGACGGGGCTGTGTATGGTGCCAAAGCCAAGTGGCACAAGTGACAAAACAGCAACAAAATGTCATAATTGATAGCGACAAGTGACAGCGGCTGAGCTGATGCTGCATGCACCAGCAGCATCAGAAGCGGCAGCAGCAACTGTTGCCGGCAGAGTCTCTGTCCCGGATTAAGCGCAAATTGTGTTTATGTTCAACACATAGAAACTGTGACAAGTTAATATACGAGGAGCAACAAATCCGATTATAGGCATGACTTGATTTCATTTGCATGCAGCAATTTGTTGCACGTTGCTGGCTACCTAATTGCGATTGGGCGGGACATAAAAATTAATTATGAAATTACACACACATACACACATGTGTACATGTATATATGTGTCTGGCAAACAAAAGACTTAAGCAACGAACGCGCTTGTGCTGCAGCTAGCTCATATTACACTGGCCAGCTCATTCGATTTAATTTAAATTAGTTTATAATTTATTTGATGCCCTAACACTAACACTAGAGTGGCAGACCACACACGGCTCACAAATTATCTCGTAGTCAATTTAAAAGCGTCGCTTAAAATGTTTAATTTAACATAAAACCAACACACGGCGACAGCCGAGAGCCACATTTACGGCAACAGAAACACATAAACAAGCGCATTATTGAGCGCTGAAAAACAACAGGTAAATGGAATGAAAGAAAAGAAAAAACAAAAACAAAAACAATCGAAGAGAAAACAAAACAATAGGAAAAAAAGCCAATAAGACGCGCAACGCGATAAATTTGTACAATAAAACAAAACTGATTTCCGTCTAATGCGATTGACACCTAAAACACCAAAAATTTCAAATTACAATAAGTATACAAAGTCTGTCCAACTCAAATGAGACAGCAACAGAAATCGAAATACAAGCACATAAATAATGTTATTAAAATAGACACACGATTGTGATTTGGGACTCTCGAGCCCCGAAAACTCGCATCTCGTTTCTCGCATCTCACATATCTCGAACGCGCAGCTCGGGTCAGCCGGCGGCCACTTGATTAGCTCATCACTTAGCCCACTAAAAGAGACACTTTCAGCTGACACTGATTGGTCGCTGTGGACCACAACTTGACAACGAGTAGTCAGCGCAAATATACATATGTATATATATATATATAGATATGCCTATATATACATATATAAAGAGTCAAGTTGTCTGTTTATGGACAGCCTATCATTATTTATAGAATTAAATTGTTTAAATCGAAACGCTTCGATTTTTTTCGTCTGCTTGTTCACTTAAGCTTTGAGTTTTTTGCAAAAATTGAGCATCCCAAGCGATTAATTATGTTAATTCCATTGTGGCTGAGCTCTTAGACAAATCGATTGCACTTTTCTAGCCTTAGAATTTGCTTATTTTTCAAAATTAAGCCAACAATAGATAATAAATAAAATAAAAATAATATATATCTATATAATATATACACTATTCTATTCATAGAAATTCTGCAAAGTGTTGTTTGTTGCTTTGCAAATTTTTGTTTATATTTTGATTAAACTTCTTCAACAATCTGTATTTATGTGAATCTTGAATTTATTTATATTTTAAAGGCGTTTATTTATGTTACTTCTTAAAAGTTTCTATTCAAATTTGAAATTATTTTACAAAGCAGACTAATGCGAGTGAACTTACTGACTGCTAGATACTCTATAGCACACATATAGTAATTCTAGTTCAGTTATCAAAGCTCTACTGGCAAATCTGTTCCATTTAAGCAAGGCACAACTCATTTAATATTCTTAAACAACTTCTTTTTCGCTACACACCCTATATACCCACTTATACACAATGAGCTGTATATAATCAGCTTCTGCTCATAAGTTTCATCTACTTAAGCAAAGAGCTTGACATGTTTATGAAAAACATACATATGTGTGTTTGTTTATTGTTAACTTAGGCCAGACAACTTTTTAGTTTTAGCATTAAAATTAAATAATTCTTGCATTAGCTACGCCACATGTAAGTTTGTAATTTATGGCCAATAGTTAAAGCCTGGCGCATGTCGTAAGTCTCTCATATCTTTGGCTGGCTGCTGCTAAACAATTCGCATTTTTTGGGAGACAGAGTTCAAAACGGTTGCACGCTCAATTCTCACATTTCGCCAAAGAGTCTGTTTGAACAATTAGTTGACTGATTTATTGATGTGGAGCAACGAAGCACAGCGCAATGCTGCAATGGACCGAGGCAGCAGCGGCAGTAGCAATAGCAGCTTGAAGGCTAGGTGCAATGGCCGAGGCGCGTTGCTTACAATTTGATTTGATTTGATGTGCGCCTACGAATGTTGCTCAGTTGCCCAGTTGCCAAGTTGCCAAGTTGCCAAGTTGCCCGTTGCCCGTTGCCCGTTGCCAGTTGTCGCCAACGTTGCTGTTGTTGGTGGCTGTCGAAACGCATAATCGTAAAATTTGCTGTGGAATGTTGCAATATTTTTGCGAGTAGAGCAATTTGCGCGTGAATTATTCCAAACGTTGCATTTACAAATGATTTTTTGTAACCAGCGACAACAACTTTAATTGGCCCAACGAGGAAGTCATTGCTCGCGTCGAGCTCAACTATAGAAAACATACAGATGCCGGCAGACTCCTTTCCAAGTCTCAATTCTTTGCGGCGCATTCGCATTCGCATTTTGCATGGTACGTGACGCAAACAAAAGGCGTTGGTCCAGCCGTTGACATATTCTAAGCAAACGACAGGCCCATAAAATCATATTTCCACTCTGTTTTCCATGAATGTCACACTTGAGCTGCGTTCGCTTGCCTGTTGCTTGGTGGGTGCAGCAGCAGCAACTGCAGCAGCAGCAGCCAGTACGTCTCTATTATTGGTGTGAAGTCATCGCGTGAAACGTTTTTGCAGGCTTCCATTTAATTTCCATGGCCAATGGCTGGCAAATGCATAAACTGTGCACCAACTCTCCAGTTCCCCAACTCCAAGTTCAGCTCTGACTAAGAAGCGGCGAGTGCAGCTGCAGCTGGGCATTGTTTAGCTGGCGGGAGGTGCTGGCCATGTAGGTAATTCCTGGAAGTTAATTTCATTAAGAGCAACTAGCAATGCGCGTCGTATTTATTAGCCGCACGATATATATATATATATATATATATATGTATATATATATACATATGTATATACACATATATCTGTTGCATAGGCATTGGCTTTGTTTTCAAGGAATCTGCCGCAGCCAGCCAACTGTATGTCGCTCGTGTATTTGTGGAATTCATCATCGGCGACAGGCGGGTTCCACTTCGACTCGACGTCTCCATCTCCGTCTGCGTCTGTAGCTCCAGTTTCATAGCTCCGTCTGGCCGCGTTAGTTGTTTCGCAATTTTCATAACTTATTGTACATGGAGATCCGGTTGCAGCTAAATAAGGCAACAATTTCCTTAAGAAAATTTACGCGCAAGTGCGATTTCCAGTTAATAAAATTATCCCCAAACATGCCACGCCTCCTGTCTGCCCCACTGCCGCAGCGAATTCTTATTAATTCTTATCGCCACAGCAAAACAAAAAAAAAGTAAAACAACAAAGATTTCTTAGTGCGGCATCTGCTCAACCACCTGAGCAGGTGTGCGTGTGTGTGTGCGCGTGTGTTCGTGTGTGTGTGCGCCTGCATTTGGTCACAGCGATGCCGACAAGTGTTGTACACGCATTCCAAATACTTTTCTATCATTAGCGGCTGCTGTTGCCCCATGTGGTTGGTCCTCGAAGACACAAATGCATGGCATACCTCTAGCGACACAGATAAATCTGTAGGATATTCAATTCTTTTCATATATGTATATATTTATTTATTGTTACATGTAAAACACACACGGTGTATGAACAGAGATTTTCCTTTGAAACATTCCTCATAAACATAAATGTTGCACGCAATAGTACACACAAAATAGTTGGAACAAATTTGTAGCTATTTAACACATGTGAGAAAAACTGATACAGAAACAAAGTATTATGAAACGGTTGACAAATTCGAGTATCTCGCTTATGGCACAGCCGGAAGTCTAGGTTTCTTTAGTAGAAGAAACGATAGACGCCAAAGAGTACCAACAGAACAATCAATATGAATAGCTTAGATTTAAGTTTGTATTTGTTATCCAGAGTCTGCCACAAGCGTACAAATGCCTTGGAGGATGGGTCCTGTTCCTGGCGCAGGGAACGACGTCCTCCAGTGATGATACTGCCCGTAGCTATGGTGCGTCTGTAGCTGCTGCTACGATCGCCAATTCGCTCGGCGCGCAGGCGTGCCAAATTGCGAGCAAAATCGCTTTCAAATTTAACGCCCTGTGAGGCATCCTCCTCAGCGGTATCATCGCTGAATTCGTTGCTATAGGTACGTGGCGGCGAGCGACGTAAGCTGGTGCTGACACCAATTGTTGAGGATGCACTTGTATAGCTTTGAGCGGGCGAGCTCACATAGCTGCTGTAACGTCCAGTTGCAGCACGGTAATCATAGCTGTTGCTGCTACCACCTAGTGTAGTGCGTGGCTGGGTGGGACTGGGTACGTGTTCGTACACCTGTTTAATGCGCTGTTGCTCCATAGTGTTGGGCTGCAGGCTAGGATATAGTGGCTTGGCCACATATTCATGAGTATTTACGGTGCTGGCCGTTAGCTTTGGCTTGGGTTTGGGTTTGCTGGCGATTTGCTTGTTGTGATGACTGTACTGATCCTCAGCACTCTGGGCAGCCTGGGCCAACTGCTCATCCTCCTCTTCATCTGACTCTAGTATAATCAGTGAATTAACCAGCAAGGGTTTCTCGCTTTCACGCTGTTTGGGCACTGTAGGCTCTTCGGCAATTGGTTCCGGCTTTCGAACGATCCGCTCGGTTGGCTGTTCACGTCGCTCCGAATTGGATATGCGCCGCGACTGTATGGGCGCAGCCTTGGCTGCAACTGGTTTGACTACTGCAATTGCCTCCGGCACAGTTTGTGGCTTGTTCACTGGCTGCTGCTGACGACGACGATCGTCCTCTTTGTTGTCGCTGGGATTGAAGGCAATGGTGCGGCGTGATTTGGCCGCAGCTTGGGTACCATCCGTCTTATCCACCTGTCCAGCTGCAGCAGCAGCAACAGCTGCTGGCTGCAAGGTCTCGCGACGTGCATTGCTCTTCTTTGGACTGGCTGCCGGCAAAGCGGCGTTGCCGCCTAGTGAGGCGCGTAAACGTTTAACCAATACTTTGCGGCTGCTGTCTGTGACTGGTATATTCGGCAATCCTTGGGCTAGCATTCGTGCACGCAGTTCGGCATTGGACAAATTGTCTAAGTTATCAGCATCAGCCATTATTCCTGTTTTCAAACGCGCTTTGCACAAATCGTTGAAATTGAAAGCAGTTGCGCGTCACTTTTTTGCGCGGTGCGATGTTAGTTAGCGATGTGCGATAAAAGCAAATTATCGATTTATTTCGCCGAATTTGCATATAATGAACTTAAGTTTTCTTTGTTTAATTATAAAAGCAACTACTGATTCTGTAAAATATCTTTTAGTTTTTATTTTATTAATTTTTATTTAGCTTTATAGAAACTGTTCTATAAGTTTGAAAAGAAAATCTTTATTTCAAATACAGATCTGGCAGCGCTGTTAGATTAAAGTGTTGAATAACTCTCTACTTGAGTAAGCTTACAGCACTATTGAAATGGAGGCTTAATATAAAATGAATAGTATAAGTCAATTCAATTCTCGCACCTTGAATTGAAGATTTTGTAAATGGCGATGACTCTTATAATTCCTCTGTCCGCATTCCATGAAAGAAATATCTACTCAGCTTAGCTGAGCAACAGTTTTTACTGATGAAATCTTAAATGAAATTTTGTGGCATTCTTTTAGGCATATCATTTAACAGACGAGAGAACTGTGAAGATCAACCCCATTGATCCCTATCAAAATCCAGGACTTGTATAGATTCGTTGAATTTAATCTGTGTGTCCTATGTGTTATTTGTTACATGGATATACTTTGAACTTTGATCCAATTCAATTTGAATGTATTCAATGTCCTTCCGATCCTAACGCACCATGTCCTGTAAAAATCAGGGAAAGTCCTGTGACGTACTGAGACGAACGTTAAAAACTGCCTCAACTACACACATACACAAAGTACAGAATAATGCAAGAACAACTCAAACTTTATCAAAGATTCACAGTATAGAGGATCACGGGTCTGCCTAGAAGCTCCAGCAATTCCGACAATTTATATATATAGTTTCCATATTCTAGTACTTAAAGAACATTTAACTAACTTATAAAACGCGCGATTTAAAATTGGACCGTACACGACTTTTAAGCAAAATATTTGTCATGCTGCTTAGTGATGTGTAATAGCTTAAACGAGCTATCGATAAGACGACCAGGGCTGCTATAAAGTACACGAAAATAAATGCACTTGATGATCTGGCAGCACTGGCAGTTTTCACGGGCTTACCTATCTGTTTTGCACATCACTGTAAGATAGGTAAATGCCAGACAAACGTAAATGACGCTAAATCTCGCTGTTAAATATAGGAGATAATTAAGGCGTAACAGTCAACGCTTGGAGAGTCCACAGAGAAATTATTTAGTATACACTATGGACATTTCGAAAGCTCCAAACCCACGCAAACTGCAGCTCTGCCGCATCTACTTTCTGAGTATGACTAAACTCCATCTCTCTCTCGCTCTCTCAATTTCCCTAATAAAATTTACTTTTAGCTGGTTTTGCTTTTCTGCCCTTCGTTTGGGCCGTAAATGTGTGCTGGTTCTTTGAGGAGGCGTTTCGCAAACCACCATACACCGAACAGACTCAAATTAAACGCTGTAAGTGAGCGAGTAACATTATAGATAACTGAAGTTATCCGATTTTTCCATGACAGATGTGATATACTCAGCTATAGGGACTTTTATCTGGACAATCGCACTGATCACCTGGATTATTCTATTCCAAGCGAATCGTGCAGCTTGGGGTGCAACAGCCGACTATATTAGTTTTATAATACCATTGGGTGTCCCATGATCCTGAGTCGAATCTAAGCTATGGTATTAATATTAACAATTGATATTAAACTAAATCAATTAAAACAAATATACAAAAATATATGATAACAGATTATAGAGAATACGGAATTCACTTTTTAAATACATTTTTTATTCACATCTAAAGCTTATTTTTTGTTATATATATATATATATATTTGTATATATATATATGTGTACTATACTTTTGAAATTTTCTTAGACACTAATTATGTGTTATTTTTTTCATAATTTGTAATAATTTGTTTTGAATGCGATTTCATTTCATTTTGTTGTATCTTGCTGTCACTTCCGTTTCCGCTTCGTCCACGGCTTCCGGCTGTCTTGATATAACAAACAATTTCATTGTTTTAGAATGTCATAAAGTGTTGCTTGCCCTTGCTCTTGTTATTTGCTCGATTTTTAAAAATACATAAATATTTGTTGTTAAAAATTTCTGCGCTTGTACCATTTCGAATAATCAACTAAGCTGATGTCGTCTTCCATTTACGTTTTATAATCTTTGTTAATTAATGTCGTCACTACGCTGATTCCACTACGAACGAGTGAATTAAATTGTTGCGATGATTGCGAAATTGCGAAGTGAAAATGCAATGTGGGGAGACAGATCTAACACGCACACATACATAATTATATTTCGATTTTTTGTTTTTACCCTATTTGCTGTGAGCTGCCAACATATGTTGCTCTAGTGTCACACACATGTCACATATCAATCAATGAATCAATCAGGAAATCGCAACTAATTTACAATTTATAAAAGTCTCGATTTAAGTTATATTTACATGCAATACTTTTTTTGTTTTTCATTTACTTTCTCATTTGTTTTGTTGTTTGTCGATTGATAAATTCTAAAGAATTGTTTGTGTTTTCATTTATGTTTTTATCGTTCTTAGCTTTGTCTATAATATAAAACATTAAGTGCCATTTAATCACGCGTGTAGTCTATGATGAAGCGGCTAGTGAGCTCTACAACAAACAGAACATTCAACTTCTGCTTCACATATTACATTCACAATCTAGTTAATGTATATATATATATATGTATATATATAAATTTAAATTACACATATTTCATATAATAATAATAATAATAATAATAGTAATAATAATTATATATCCATCATATCATACACATACATTTATAAATATATATATTTTTATATATAGTATAAATATTTCAAAGAACACGCTTAGAAACATTTAAATAATTCACAAAACTAAAATTTTCACTTATTTTTGTTTTGTTTGTTTTTTTTTTTTTTTTTTATAGATTTTTCTGTTTTGCTTAGTTTTCTCTTAGGAGAAACTACTGGATACGAATAGTACACACATACACATACATATACATATACATATATATTAGTTATATAAGAATGGGCGCGCCCTTTGTCTTTTAGATGCAAATGTCGCGCTGGCTCCATTCGCAACACAGATAAGGATTAATTAATACACGATGCTAAATGCTAAATTGTAAGTGCTACGTTTTGTTTTGTAATTGGTAAACTGTAAACGGTAATTGATAATCGATAATTCGTTAAACAATATGCATTAATATTAATTATATTTGTTTTTGTTTTTGTTTTTACAAGAAATCAACACTACAGCAGAATTTGTAACCGCTTTTACTTCTCTTTTTGTTTTGTTTTGTTCATGTTCGATTTACGCCTCTCTCGTATAATATATATATATATATAACTATAATTATATTATGTTTTGTTTAATATGTATATATATATATATATATATGTATATGCAAAATACACTTAGGAAAAACATCGTTAATTTGTAGTTATGCTATATTATTATATCATATTTTGTATGTACTCTAGAATATATTCATATATATATATGTGTATATATATATTGTTGTTGTTTGTTTTGTTTTTGTATCTGGTAATAGTAGTGATAACTTAGGGCTTAAACTAAATCTTTATAGTTAACACGTTAAACGAAACATACAAAAAATACTTATTAATATAAATAGTCGATTTTTCTTTTCTGTTGTAGTTGCTTTTGTTGTTTAGGTTGGGGTGCTTGGGATTGTTGTTGTTGTTGTTATTTTGTAACGTTTGTAAAAATATTAAATATATATATTTGTATGCTATATATGATTTATGTGCGCACGCCCAGGGCTAATAGCAAATGCATTTGGGTATTTATCAACCACTGCCTCTTCCAGTTTCGATATCGATCCGGATCCAGTTTTCCGCTAGTTGTTCTTCACATTGTAGGCTTTCTTCTCGTTGCTGCCATTCAGTGGTTCTCATTTTGTCGGACCCGGCGGAAATGGATTTATCACAGCTACTGCAGCCGCTTGTTGGCTGGCCAAAACGGCCGCTAAAAGCAAGCAACAATCATGAGCAACTGTCTCTCGGCACAGATTCAAACCCTTCTCATCCCATCTTACCCCACTACTCACCTCCATAGGGCGCCGTGTACATGGGATAGCCGAGGCCCACGTGCGTGTGATGGTGTGTGTGCACATGTCGCTGCGGCGGAGGACTGCGCGAATCGGCGGCACCAGCACCACCAGGAGCACCATTGCCGGCACCACCGCCGGCTACTCCCACAGCTCCATTGCCCGCGGGACCGGCGCCAATGGGCGGCGCGCCAGGTAGCGGCTGTTTGTGCGCATCGAGTGCAGCGCCTGGCGCCACGCCATGCGACTTTTGGCCAGCCATATCGGGTTTGTTGGACGTCGGGCCGCCCAAACTGCCAGGTGGTGGCTGTAGATTCAGTGGAACACCACCTCCACCACCTGGCGCCGAGCCGGGCTGATTGGGACCCTGGCCGCCCAGCACATTGGGCCCAGAGCCGGGCCCGCTGTTGCCGGGTCCACCTCCCGGTTGTGGGAGACCCAAGCTGGGGCTGCTGACGCTGACCTTGACCGGTCCGCTAGCGCTGGTGGGAGATTTGAGAGCACGTTCGCTCAGCTCATGGATCTTGTGCGTGGTATAATACTGGCTGGCCGCATGATGTAGTGCGTCCAGCGCCTTGGTGCCTGTATTCCGTGAAAGATCCTCGGGCGCATGATAGCGCGTTATGGGCAAATGATACGGCGGCGCATTATACGGCCCAGCTGCGGACATCAGCACATTACGATACATCGGATGATTGGGATCGAAGCCAAATGGCGTTGGCGAAATGTACGAGGGATGCAAAAAGTACTGCGATGTGGGCGGTGGTGGGGGACCTTGCGTTTCCATGGTAGGTTTCTGTCCTTCCTGCTTCACCTTCAGCTGCTGCTGCTGTTGATCATCGTCGCCTGCGCTGCTGCCCTTTTGCTTGGGCGAGTCCTTGGTCAGGTTGGTTGCCTTGTTATTGGCTGCGGCACTGGCTGCTTGCGATTGCTTAAGCTTCTGTTGTTGTTGTTGCTGCTGTTGCTGCTGCTGTTGTTGTTGTTGCTGCTGCTGTTGTTGCTGCTGCTGCTGTTGCTGCTGGTGTTGCTGTTGCGCTTGCTGCTGCGCCTGCTGTTGCATATGCTGGTGATGTTGCTGCAACGCTTGCTGCTGATGTGCTAGCGATAGTTGCTGTTGCTGCTGCTGTTGTTGTTGCTGCTGCTGTTGCGAGCTTAACTCGTCTTTATGCTGTGGTGGCATTCCGGGATGCGGTTGCATGCCGGAAGCATTCTGTGCCGCTGCTACAGCCGCAGCATTCTGACGCCTCTGCTGATCCGAGAACATATAGTAGCTGCAAAATAGCGAAACATTTGTATGAACAGATGCTCTTAACTGTAAGTTTTGTGTGGCTTACCGTCGCAGCTCATCCTCGCGCGCTGCTGCTGCCAGGCTCATGGAATGCCGCTGATAGATGCTTGGATGATAAGCGCCCAGCGCCTGCAGATCCTTTGGATGTAATGCATGTGGCTGCTGTGGCTGTGGCGGTGGCTGCTGCTGTTGCTGCTGTTGTTGTTGCTGCTGCTGTTGATGCGTTGGCGGCGGTGGCTGCTGACCCATATTGGTATTGGGCTCCTGTTTGATCTCCTGTTTGATCATCGGCTCCTGTTTGATTAGCTTGTTGGCCAGCAGCTGCAAAATAGGATTGTCTTTAGTATTTCCACTAATTAGTGAGGCATTTGCTGCATTTACCTGCTGTTGCGGCGGCATATGCTTCGGGTTGTCATGCGGGCTGGGACTCTCCTTGGTGCGCTCCTCCTTAATGCTAATGCCGGCGAGCTGTTGCTGCTGCTGCTGTTGCTGTTGCTGGGCCTGCGAGCTGGGCGGCAAACCAGGATGACCGCCCAACTTGGCCGCCTCCTCGGAGGCCACAATCGAAACGGGTCCAAAGTTAGGATCTACGCTGTAAGGATAACCCGGCGGTATGAAGCTACAAAGAGAAAAATCATTGATTAACGACAAATTCTATGGTTTAGCTTTGAGATTTAGCTCACTTGTAGGGATAGAAATGACCCAGGGCTTTGGCCGGCGATGGCCCTCCGAGACCCGTTAGCCCAGCAATACCAGGAGGCAAGCCACCAGGTGGTCCAGCCACAGCGCTGAGATTAACCGGCGGCGGCTGCACCTGTGTCGGCTGCGATGGGGGTGGACCGTTGTCCTTGCCATTGTTGTCGGGCTGCTGTTGCTGTTGGCCGCCTGGCTGGGATGGCGGCTTTGTCATTAGATCCAATGGCGGCTCCTTGTTCTTGTTGCTGTAATCGGTCAGATGCGCGACGGCCTGCTGGGCGGGCGGCGCCAACAGATGCGACTGTGGCGTCTGTGAGGTAGCTGGCGGTGCACCCGGCTGTTGCAGCTGCTGTTGCTGCTGCTTGCCTGGCTGCAGTGCTTCCGGACCGGGTTGCACCATGTATTGCGGCTGCGGTTGCTGTGGCAGCGGTGGCGGCTGCAATTGTTGCTGTTGCTGTTGTTGCTGCTGTTGCTGCTGCTGCTGTTGCTGTTGCTGCTGTGCCGCCGGGTAGAACTGGTACATGCCATAGCCGGCCAGCGAGGGCGGTATATTGGGCGTTGGCGCTGGTGGCACGCCCACCTCGCTGGGTTTCTTGCCAAGCAGCTCAATATGTTTGCTCGGTTGCGATTTGTCCAGGAGCTCCGGCTCCGCAACGGGCGTGGAGTCATCTGAGATATCACTGTACGCTGGACTCTGCACATCCTCGCGCGAAACGCTGCCATCAAAATCGCCCGGACCAGGCGACTTTCTATTCTTCTTCTGCTTGCTGCTGGCTCCCACCGAAGCGGGTCCGAAGCCAGGCGAGCTCTTCAAGCCCGGTGGCGGCTGCTGTTGCTGTTGTGGCACATAGCCAGCGGGTGGCTGTTGTGGATCCTGCGCCAAACTAGGCGGACGCAGTGGACTCTGTCCAGGCGGCGATTGCTGCGTATTAACGCCAGGCGGTGGCTGTTGTTGCTGCTGCTGTTGTTGCAAGGCTGCCGCATCAGGTGGGCCAAAGCGTAAGACTCCCGCTTTTACTAGAAAAGGAAAGAAAAAAGGTTTTGTTTAAAAAGGGGAAGCCTCAAGAAAAGTGGTTTCTCTATATCCCATCTTTATATATAGTTTCTACTTACATGCGCCTTGCTGTAGCAGCGCCTGCTGCTGCTGCTCGGATAGCATTGCTGGTAGTCCGGCGCCCACGAGTCCGCCCAGCAGCTGATGCTGGGACAGCGCCTGTGTGGAGATGCCGGCTGTGATGCTGCCGCCAGCAATCGGTTGACTGCCAGGCATGCTACCAGGCGGCAACACTGTTTGTGGCTGCGCTTGTGCCGGCGCTGCTGGCGGTGGCTGTGGCGCGGCAGCCGCTGCAACCACCAGCGGCAACACTGGCAATGGTGCCGCCACAGCAGCAGCAGCAGCCGCAGCAGCGACAGCTGGATCTGTGGCTGCGCTTGCAGCAGCATTCAGTAGAGTGCTATTTGCTGCTGCGCTGTTTGCATCTGCTGCTGCAGCAGCGACAGGCACTGCCGCTGCTGTTGCAGCTGCTGCGACTGCAGGCAATACTGCTGTTGCTGTTGTGGCTGGTGGTGCTGTTGCTGTAGCTGCTCCGTTAGCTGCCGCTGTTGCTGCTGCTGCCGCTGCTGCTGCTGCTGCTGGCAGCGGCGATGGCGGCGTTGCCGGCTCATCGGGCGCCTGCATGGAGTCCTCGTCCATGGAGCTGACACCGCCGCCGCCGCTGCTGCTGCCGCTGGCGCCGTGCGCGTGCGACTGATGATAGCGCAGCCCGTTGGCATGCTTGTACTTCTTGCTGCAGTCCTGCTCGGGGCACTCGAGCAGCACCGGTGAGATCGCGCAGGGCGAGGCAGTCTTACATTTCTTTGTGTTGATTTGCACATTGAGTCCGGTCACTGGATTGAGCACGCTCTGCGGCTGGGTGGCCAGGCCACCGCCGCTGGCCGTGATGGGAATGCCGCTGGCATTTACCATGCTCACCATGCCACCGGCACCGTCACCGCCCTCGCCGTTGAGCGGCGACGGCGCCTCATCCTTCGACTTACGCTTCTCGGGCCGTGGCGGCAGAAATGCTGTGGGTGAGGTGCTGGGCGTGGCACCACCACCGCCTCCATTGCCCGAGGAGCTGCTGCTATTGGTCGCATTGCCAGTGGCGCTGCGCGTCGCGCCACGTCCCTTGGTAGCGCCATTGCGCAGCTTCGAGTGCACCTGGGCATGCGAGAAATAGATCTGAGAAAGATTAAATTGGATTAGTCCACTGATCTGTAAGCTAACTGAGTAAGCCTACTCACCGAGCTTCTGGTTTCGGTAAAATTGCTCAGATCGGGCGTTAAGCCTGCGCTACGTCCGCGCTTGCCGCGTCCCTTTGGAGTTCGAGAATCTAATTCTTCAGTTGGTGAATCACAGAATCTGCAAGAGACCGAATGAGCATAAAGTGGGTTAGAGCACAGCTGATTGGAGAACAATTCAAACTGGTTTAAGGTTGTATTCTTAGCGAGAAATTTACTAAACCAGAGAGAATCTTAGAAGCAATAAGGCTAAAGATTTTGTTTTAACATAAACAGATAATACTAATCTATGTAATTTAATATAGATCAATTTTTTCTTGATTTTAAGACTTATATGGGAAGACATAGATATGATTGTAAAATAAACCTATCTAGTTTCCAATGGAAAATTCCTAAAAATCTATTTAGTAACCATTCAAACTTTTCATTATCAGATATGATATGATATGATATGATATATGATATATCATCAGTTTGGTATGTTATTTATAATATAAACATTAACACTCCTTAAGAAATTTTCTAAGAAACTAAGAACTGAACATATAATCTAGTCCATAAGACCCTATAAAGCTGCTTTTTTCTTTAAACTGTTCAATTTTTATAGCCTAAATAAAATAAAATATGCTATAATAATCAATTAGAAGTCCTTAAATCTCTAAGCTAAATGCAAATATTATAAATTACTCTATAAAATTATATAATATATAATGTAATCTCTCCAAGAACTAAAATACAACAAAAAACTCTGTAAAAACTTCTATAAAACTGCAAGATATTAAAAAATATCCTATACAAATAGCGTTTAAATCCCTCAAACTGTTAGAAATACCAAAAATAAATTTTAAAACAAACAAAACAAAAAAATGCCAGAAAATAAGTTTTACAAAAAGGCATGTTTATTTTAGCTTTAACAGTTTGAGGGCTAGTGGATTGGAGGAGCAGGAGTGGGAGAAGTAGGTTATTCGAAAGCTGCTACTCACCTTGGAGGAGCCCAATCGTGGCGGGTGCAGTCGAGCAGGGTGCCCACATAGGTCTTGCCGCGCCACGTCACATTCACGACGAGCACGCCGCCCTCGGTCTCGTGCCACACGATGCCCTCGAGGGTGACCGAGGTGCCCGGCTCACAGGGGCCGAGGCAATCCGGCTCGGTGATGGTGCCCACAGAGGTGCCAATGCAGATGTCGACCATGTCCTTGCTGTTCTCGCTATGCTTGGCACGTTTAGCAGGCGGCGATTTGCTCTCCTCATCGGCAGCACCACCGCCGCTGTTGCTGCTGCCGGCGGGCACAGAAATCGTATGGTGCATGGTGGCTGAGATCATGCCGGGCGCCATTAGCTTGGCCTGTGCCAGGCTGGCCGCCTTGCTGTCTGCATTGCTGCCAGCGGCAGCTGCAGCATTTGCTCCACCTGCCGCAGCTGCCCCACTTTGGTTGCCCGTGTAGTTGTTGCTGTTGTTGTTGTTGCTGGCATTGCTGTTGCTGCCACCGCTAGACGATGCTGCAGCTGCGGCCAGCTGTGCGGCAATGTGTGAGGATATTTTAATGCTTGCATCCTTGCCCGGCGGCCCAGGCGCATTGGCAGCACCAGTATTTAATCCACTGCCGCTGCCATTGCCCGCAGCTGCCTGAGAGGCATTGCTGGCCGCCGTTGTGGCAGCCAGCAGCGAGGCAGCCGCCGAGACCACAGCAGTCGGCGAACCGGCAGAAGGCGTGAATACGCCCGGTGGCACAGCCGTGGCCGTGGAGTTGTTGCTGTTGCTGCCGCTGTTGTTGCCCATGCCACGTCGTATGCAGGCATGATGCGAGCAAGGCGGCGCTGAGCCCGTTGCAACGTCTCCATTGCATTGACAATTGCTGTTGCTGGTGCTGTTGTTGTTGTTGTTGCTGCTGTTACTGGCATTCTTTTCGGGCGTGTCTTTTTCCCCAGCTGCCGAAGCAGCTGATTTGTCTACGCTGAGGCGATTGGAATGTGCGTTCTTATCCTTTGTCTTCTCGCGCCTATGACCAGAGCTGCCTCGCTTATTGCCCTGCGGCGTTGACTGTGCGTTGTTGTTGCTGCTGCTACTGCTGTTGCTGCCGTGCGTATTATTTGGATTGGCATTGCTGTTGTTAGTGCTGTTGTTGTTGTTGTTGCTGCTGCTACTGCTGCTGCTGCTGGAATTGTTGAGATGCTTTTTGCTGCTGCTGCCACTGCTGCTGCTGCTACTAGAGCCGGAAGAGTTGCCCGAGTTGTTGCTGCTGCTGCTGCTTGAATTGTTGTTGAGGGAAGACGCATTGACATTGCTGCTGTTGCTGCTGCTGCTGCCGCCACCACCACCGCCCCCGCCGCTGCTGCTGCTGGTGCTGCTGCTGCCGCCGTCCTCCTGTTGGCTGCTGCTGTTCGAGCTGCTGTTGCCCAATGCACCGTTCTGTTGCTGCTGTTGATCTGTGGCCTTGACTATCTCGTGTTTGGCCTCGGAACTTTTGGTGCCGGGCTTCGTGCGTTTGATCTTCATTTTGAGTCCTTTATCGAGCGTTGCCTGATGATCAATGGACATTTTTGCGCTCGATTTACCGCTGCCGCTTTGCGAACTTTGGCCACCGACTGTGGCGCCACCAATTGTATTGCTGCCTATGCTGCTGCTGTTGTTGTTCCCGCTGCTATTATTGTTGCTGCTGCTGTTGCCGCTGCTGCTGTTGTTGTTGCTGTTGCTAGAGTTGCTGCCTGCTTGCGAGGACATACCGCCAGCGGAGAGTTTAGCTTGCTGCTGACCACTGCCGCTGCCGCCGCCGCTGTTGCTGCTGCTGCCTGCTGTAGTGGAAGACTGGCTAACGCAGGAGGAGACCAAGTTGCCGCCTTTGGAGAAGCCGGCAAATGTCGAGGAGGACAATGTGCTGCCGGTGCCTGCGTTGGCTGCGCTGTTGTTGTTGCTACTGCTGCTGCTGTTGTTGTTGTTGCTGGTGTTGTTGTTGTTCTTGTTTTGTTGGTGATTGTTGTTGTTGTTGTTATGATTTAGACCAGGGCTGTTTAGTTGTGCCACTAGTGCTGATTTGTAGCCTTTGCTAGCTGTGCTATGATGATGATGATGGTGGTGATGATGATGATGATGATGTTTGCCCGTGGAAGAGGACGAACCTTTGCTACTAGACAACACAGCTGAGCTGTTAGTGCTACTGCTGCTGTTGTTGTTGCTGTTTGTGTTGCCGCTAGTTGCTGTTGCCGCTGCTGGCGTTGCGTTGGCGCTGCCGCTGGCAATGGGCTGGCGTGTGAACTTAATTGTGGTTGGCGATGTGGCCGACAAATTGCTATGCAATGTGGTCTTGTGCGATTTGTGAGCTGCCGCTGCTGCTGCTGCTGTTGCTGATGATGAGGATGTTGCTGCTGTGCTGTTTGCTTGTTTAGCATTTAGCGTTGTCGTTGTTGTTGTTGCTGCTGCTGCTGGTGCTGTTGGTGTTGCAGTCGTTTGGTTGCCACCACCCGAATGCGCCGCCGACTTTTCAATGTCAGCGTCTAGATCATCCAGCAGTTCTGGTATGCCGCCAATATTCCACTCGTCCTCGTATTCAAAGTTTGTGTCCTTTGATTCACTTGAATTTGATGAGCTACTGCTGCTGCTACTAGCCGACGCTGTTGAGTTGTTTGTTGTCGTTGTATTTCCAGCGTTTGCTTTGCTAGCGCCAATCAATTCTGCAAACGAACAACAAAAAACGAACAATATTTAAAAAAAAAAACTGATTTTTTGTCAAACTTTTATGCAACTCTTCAAAATGCCAAAAAATGCTCTTCCGCCGAACTCCACTCTCTTTCTTGGAAGTTATTACTATTAAGTGTAAAAGAGCTTAAGAGAGCCTAGAATGCTGATAGCTCAAATTGTATATGCGATACTCTCTCTATGCATATATACTCTCTTTAGGCTGCGTTTAATTGGCACTGGAAGTTGTAAAGCCTGCAATAAAATTGTCGAGAGCAAAAAGCCAGCTGTTTCTCGCCGAAAGTCATTCAAAGAGTGTTCTAACACATTTGAAACCCCAATCTCTAAACTGCACTCATATTTAAAACTGCTAAAATGAGAATTTTTGTAATTCCAATCCAAAGTAATCCCCAGTGATCTATCAATACATCAATCTTTTTTCGTACGCTGCCTGCGCACACAATTGATTTCCAGTTGCATTTTGCCCTAGGTATGTACATGCATACATACGTACATTTATGCACATATACATGCATACATACATACTTACATGCATGTGTACGCATATACATATGTATGTATTGTGTGCTCTACTTACTCGTATGCTTCTTAATCGCACTGTTGCCTTGCAAATTATTCGTTGCTGTTGCCTTCACTTTGTTATTGAAATTCAATGCTTGGTTTGTGGCTGCCGTTGTCGTTGCTGCTACTCCTGTTGTTGCTGTTGTTGTTGTTGCTGTTGATGTAGCCGCTATTCCTGCTGCTATCGTTGTTGTTGCGTTTGCCGCACTTAAATTAGCTAACAATTTACTCTTAATATTGCTTTCCGTTGCTACGTTGCTGCTATTCAGGGCCACCTGCAAGAGCCAAGACCACAAGAATAAAAATTAATATAATCCATATGTACAGTCTGTCAAGAAACACTTTACACAGTGGAAAAAATCTCAATTTTTTGACTTTATGTAAAAAAATAAAGAGTTTTTGTTTAATTTAACTAATTTTTTTTAATGGTTAACTGTTTAATAGGTATTTTTAAATCAAATTATAGAAAACAGAAACAAAAACAATAATGGTGAAACTTAAAAAACAACAAAAACTTAGATTACTCATATTTTACACTGTCAAGAAACTCTTTACACATTTTGTTCTCTTCATCTGTTTTGCTCTGATTCTAAGAAATAACGGGGCTTTACCGTTAACTATGCCTTTAGAATCTGTCTATGCATCTCTATTTTTGTGTTTATTTTTCACTTTGTGCGAAATTTGGCTGAGTACACATATAAAAGCAATACAAATTTTGATTAATAATGCCCGGAAAGAGATTAAGCTTCGATGTTGTCCAATTGATCTTCTACAATCGGCAGTTGGGCAAATCAGTTCCAGAATTAGTGGAAATGTTTTCTGTGTCAAGAAAAACCATATACAACGTTCTCAGTCGCGCGGAAAATGAGGGAAGACTTGAGGCAAAGGGTGTGGGTGGCCGAAAAAAAAAGATATCTGATCGGGCAAGCCGCCTTATGATGCGAAAGATCAAATCAAATCCCCAAATCTCGACCAGAACTCTTGCCAAGGAGCTCAAAGAAGAGTGTGGTGTGGATGTGTCCCACGAAACGATCCGTCAGGCTATTCTACGGCATGGGTATTCTTCGAAAGTGGCACGTAAGAAACCCTTGCTGTCGTCGACAAATGTGGAAAAGCGCTTCTGTTTTGCTCTTACTATGCTTAGGCACCCAGAGGAGTATTGGAAGGACGTTATATTTTGCGACGAGACCAAAATAATGTTGTATTACAACGAAGGTCCGCCCAAAGTATGGCGAAAGGTCTCTAAAGCTTACGACAAAGCGAATATCATTCCAACAGTCAAATTTGGAAAGCTGTCGGTTATGGTTTGGGCCTGCATTTCCAGCCAAGGAGTCGGTGATTTGGTATTCATTGAAAACACAATGAATGCCGAGCAATATTTTCAAATTTTGAAGACAAATTTACACCAAAGCGCAACCAAATTTGGCTTTATTAGTGAAAATCGGCCAACTTTTAAATTTTACCAAGACAACGATCCAAAACATAAGGAGTATAATGTACGTAATTGGTTGCTTTACAACTGCGGAAAGGTCTTGGATACACCACCCCAAAGCCCAGATCTCAACCCAATCGAACATGCGTGGTCTTATTTAAAGAAAAAGGTTGGAAAAAGGAATCCAACCAACCGTGGACAGCTAAAAGCTTTCGTACTGGAAGAGTGGCAGAAGATACCCCTAGAGTATATTCAAAACTTGGTCAACTCAATGAAAAGAAGACTCCAACATGTACAGAATGCTAAGGGGGGCCATACTAAATATTAAGTATTTCAAAATTAGTTATAATTAGTTTTACATTTTAAATTTAGAACAATATATAAGAAGTGTGTAAAGAGTTTCTTGACAGTGTAAAATATGAGTAATCTAAGTTTTTGTTGTTTTTTAAGTTTCACCATTATTGTTTTTGTTTCTGTTTTCTATAATTTGATTTAAAAATACCTATTAAACAGTTAACCATTAAAAAAAATTAGTTAAATTAAACAAAAACTCTTTATTTTTTTACATAAAGTCAAAAAATTGAGATTTTTTCCACTGTGTAAAGTGTTTCTTGACAGACTGTATGTGTGTGTGTGCGACAAAGTAGATTTCCGAATCTCAAAATGTACATACAAAAAATATAAAATACAAATTAATGTGGAAAGGGAATATTTTGTGCTGCTTGCCTATGCCGTCGTTTTCTGCTTCTGCTTCTTTTTCTTTATTACCTTTTCAAGCGATTTTTCCATTCCATAACAGGCGGCCAAATATGATCAAATCCAATTGCAAACGATTTGTTATACATTTAAATTGAACAAAATATATTTTTGAATAAATAATAATAATAAAGAAAACGCCGAAAATGTTTTGCGCGAGCGTTCTCCAGCGTCCTTTTTCGTATGGCAGCGCGGCGACGCAGATGAGACTGAACACAAAAAAAAAAAAAGAGCTCAAAGAGCAACCACCGAAAACGGCACGCACGCAAGCACACTGACACAATACACACAAGAAAAACACACGCACACATTGCCACAAAATTGAACGCGAGAGTAAGCGTGAGAGAGCGAACGAGCGAGAGCGGCAAGCGCATAAACAAAAACGCCACTTTAATGCAAGTGTTGGTAAACGACATACGAAATGTATAGTTTCTATGCGATTGTTGTTGCTGTAGTTGTAGTTGGTGCTGTGTGATTTACCCCTGTCCTATTCTATGCTCGTTCAATAATAAAGAAAGACAGCTTTAAGTAATTGCGATTATATTTTGTTCAAGCCAATAAATCAAACATCACACATTTTAAGCTACCGCTACGGCCATAAAAACAAACAACAACAAAAAACCAGCTTGTCCAACACATACACACACACAAATATACACGCACTCATACTTATGTATGTACGTTATAAATAGTACTTAGTAGTATTTCGTGGTTTTTTTTCCAAGCGCTATCGTCATATTTTTTGCTTTATCTGCTAACTGTAAAGTCTAGTGGCCACTTGAGAGACCGCCCCACTTGAGAGCCAGGCCAAGCGAAACAGATGACAATAAAATAATTACGGCTCTTATCGCATTTAGTAGTAGGGTTATTTGGGCGGGGTGGTTGGGAAGTTGGGTTGCTACATGCCACTTACCTTATTCGGGTGGTGGCTAGTGTTCGCCTCGTTACGTCTCATTGACTCCATGCAGACGCAAACGATCGGGCGGCCGCACTGTGCGGGCCCAAAGTACTGCCAATTGTGCCTAGGAACGTACTTTTTAGTGTGTTGCAGCCAGTGTTGCTGATCTTCTGGTTGTTGATGATATTATTCTTGTAGTAGCTATTGTTGATGTTGCACTGCTGCCGCACTGTCGCGTAGAGGGTGGAGACGCAGGGCCTCGGCCCTCGGGCCAAACTGTTCATTTTCAAAACTGCAATGACAAAAAAGAGCGAAAATGAGTATTAAAGAGAGTGAGTCAGAAAGTGCACACACACACACACACACACACACAATTAATATATCGCATCAAGTTTGAAAGCTATAAATAAAACATGCAAATTGAGAACAAAAATAAAGTGATGAAGAAACAACAAAAATACATAAATAACAATTTTTGTTGCCTTTCAAGTGTGGCGGCCTTTTGAGTTTCGCGATTAGCGCTGCCCGCCCTCTTATCGATCTCTCTGTCTTTTCCTCTCTTCGTCACTCTCTCTCCTCGCTCTTCCTCAGTATAGCTGCACTCTGGCTGTGATTTGCTGTAGGAGCTGCACTTGGCAGACACCTTAACGACTTGGCAATTAAAACACTTTTCGCAATTTACTGATAACCCACTCAAGTGCTTGAAATATGATTTGGGTTAACATGTTGCCGTTGCCCGAGCACACACGGTAGCTGATTTCTGATAAGATAACGTGACAGCAGAGCCCAACCAAATAACTATTTGTCACACAAAACAAAAATATGTAGACAACAAAAAAAGAAAACCAAATTATGCTCAAGCTTATCGAAATATTCAAACATATAGGAAGTTAAATAGAGAGAGAACGCGCATTAGCTAGACAAAGAGAGTGAGTTGGTTGATGTGGCGTGACGTCATCGATGAGAGGCGGCGCTCCGTAATTAAGTCGTTGTGTGTTGTCAACTTGTCACTTAAAACTGCTCACTCTCTTAGTGGCTGCTTATTAAGACGTACTTAAATGTACACATCGACAACTAAGCACATACATGCATAGGTGGGCGCGACTGTATGTGTGTGTGTGGGACTGTGAGCGTGTGCACTTGTACAAGTTGTGAGCAGCTAATCGCTATTTAGTTCCCTCTTTGCGCGTCCACATAAGCTGCTTTGTCACACACTAAAAGCAGACACCACACGTGGATTATCGCTGTGTACGTGTGAGAGTATAAGCCTCTGCCTGTGGTTTTGTGTGTGTGTGAGTATATAAGAGCGCATTGTGCTTTATGGTTATACTATCTATGACAGTTCCACAAATTGGGTCGCAACTTCCAACACTTTATGATCGTCATAACTCCCACGCTGTCTTCCATCGAATGGAATACACACACTCACACACACACACGTGCATGTCTGAACGGGAAAGTCTGCGGATTATTTTGTTGCTGTTGTGTTGTTTTTTTGCTTCTCTTTTATTTAAGCTCAGTCAAAAAAACGAGGCAAGCAATTAAATTTGCATGTGGTTAGCATTTTTTACGATAATTAAGTCAAGCAAACACAAACATATTCACATGTATGAGCGCGCTTGTGTGTGTGTGTGTGTGTGTGTGCGCGCGATTTTTTTAATGTGGGCTGCTATTTTGTTTGCCGTTTATTTGTTATTATTATTGTTGTTGTGGCCTTTTGTAATTCTGCCTTTTAATATGGATATTTAATTAATTGAGTTGTTGCTTTTTATTGCCATTATTAAAGAAGTGCCCACACGCATCAATAATTGGACAGCCATCTGTACGCGTGTGTGTGTGTGTTTGTGTGAGTGTTTCATAATAGTTGTTAAGATTTAATAGACCTACGCCTCATGGGAACTCAACAGATATAAATATTATATATTTCCTGCATTAGCGAAAAGTTTTTCAACTACTTTCTCATTCTCCATGTTCGTCGTTTTTTAAGGGGGTTTACCTATGAGGTAATACTATATTTAGGTTAGCTGTTATCATTTGGTGCTATTTGATTTAACTTTTTTGTTTCACTCGCTATTAACAGCCCCCTTTTGTTATTTTTGCTTCCAGCCTCATTTTTAATTAAAAATTTAATATATATATTCAACAATATATTCCACATTTAATTTTGATATTTTCAGTGTAACTTTTTATAATTTCTTTTGATTTGTCCTCGAATGCTTCACAGAAATGCTTTAATAATTATGCGAACATTGCAACGTTCCATGATAAATGTCACGTGCAGTGCGGGTGGTCGGCTGTGTGGCATGTGGCATGCGACGTGCCAAAGCGCGTTAAGTGCTATTGCAGCAGCCATAACAAACAACAAACAACAAACGAGAGCCGATCGAAACACTCCATAATTTAGACAAATCAATAAATTACTAATAGCCGCCGCCGTTCGACAACGAATTCGGCTAAAGCTTGCTAAAGGGGCGAATGTGGCTGGGGGCGTGGCAGAGGAAGAGCAGGAGAAGCTGCCGGGGCAGTTGGCAATACAAACGACAGCGCCGGTCATCGTTCAAGTCGTGTTTTAAATTGGGTTTGCGGCGAGACTTGAAAAAAAGCCAAGCAAAAACGAAAAAGGCTAAAAAAAAGCAGCTAAGAAAAAATGCTTAAAAGAAATAAAAAATATATTTCCCTTCTGCAATTTTTATGGCTGCGCAGGGAGAGGACAGAGCGCACTGAGGAGCTAGAGGCAGAGCAGAGAAGAGAGGCAGAGGGTACAGCATTGGGGTCTTGTTATGGAGCTACCCAAAAGGCTGTCCGCACGTACTAAACATCAAGCAAGAGCAGTCAAGCAGGCGCAGAGGCAGTGCGCGGGGTTTTTGTGTGGCAACTAAGTTCAAGATTTACGACCACATCGTCAGCAAGCTCATACCAGACCCATACCCAGACCCATAGCCATAGCCATAGCCTCATCTTCATCGTCGTCAGCGTTGTTTGCGGTTGTATAAGATCGATCCGCGGTTGCCGCTAAATGAACGCCTTTGGGGAGTTGCCAGTTGCGCGCTTTTATTAGCGAACTAACCGCAAAAAGGCGCCCAAAGGAGGCAGCCCGAGATACTACTGCTCAACTCCAGCCAAGCCAAGCGAGCCACAGTCATGCTTTCAGCTTCAGTTTCAGCCTCCGCCCTCGTCTGCATCTTTGCCTCAAGTTGTGCGGCACAAATTGAGTTTCGTTTATAATTTTGCTGGCTGTTATTTTGTTTTGATTCGCTTCGATGCGCGATAATTTGATTTTATATTCATAACACACACACACACGAGCTTACTCTCTCACTATCTCTCTCATATTATTGGTAGGCGTCGGATTGCGTTGGTGGCTCCATCTGTGGTTCAATTAAATTAAGTGCAGTCGCCTCTGCATTGGAGTAGGTCTTGAGAGCAGCTATACTTCAATATAGAAGAGAGCAAAAAAAGGGGTATGAACACACTCGAGTGTCGATCATGCCACTTAGAGTGCACGCTGTAACTAAGGGGTAATGCAGCACTGCGGCACATCATTCAATTGCCTTTTTTATACACACACACACACACACACACATGGACATATTTTCAATATCGATCACTGAATGGCTTGGCAATTGAAGTGCCTCTGCGGCATACTCAAGTGGATGTCGTTTTGTGGCCCCGAGAGATAGAAAGAGAGAGAGCGAGAGAGAGAGAGGGAACAGACAGGGGCAGCTTGTAGCAAGTGGGATGTAAGCATTGGCAGGCAGTTGAACTGCATTTGTTGGGTAATCAAAATGTTAAGCAGCCTACATATATATATATATATATATATATATATATATACATACATACATATATGTATCTATATATATTTACAGTAAGTTTGCTCATTAGGAATTTGAGCCTTATCAAATGCATTTGGCATTACTCAATTAACAGACTCATTATATTATATTATATTCTCTACTCATGTTAACACATTTATTGCAAGGTAGATTGGGCAGCAATTGGGTAGTTTTGGCCATTGTGAATACATTTTATGGACTGTGAACCAACGCAGCTGCCACAGTTTGTCTCGTAGTCAAAAATCAATGCTAACTGATTAAGATGCTATCTTCAAATTCATCTGTTTTGCTTTTTGAATATGAAGCAAGCACAGTCGCTTAGCAATGAAGATATATGAATGTGGACTCAGAATGCCTAGCACTTGCCCAAAGGCAACTATACTTTCGACATGGGCAATGGCATGCCCGAAACATCATCTGTATATTGTGAACTGATATATATATATATTGTGAATGTTTAAGCTGCACGTGTAAATAGCTTCTACACATTATTGCATGATCTGCGTTATCAGTTATCATTTGCCGTCGATTCAAATGAATTTTAAATATGACAATGTTTTTTATTTTTACTAGCACAATTATTTTTGTTGTTAACAAGGCCAATTGCAATGGGGATCTACATTGAAAATGGCCTTAACCTTTTCTATATAAAGCTAAAGGTAACTATCTATCGCAACTAAATCACATTGACAATGTTAAAACGTTCGTTGCTCTTCTGCTCTGTGGCCTGGATAATGCTCTGTCTGCCTGATGATTGTGCCGGCAAGGTAAAGTATAGCTAGGATATATATAACAGAATATCTAAATATATATATATATGATAATTTACAGCGCAACTGGGACTATCAACCGCTGTCCACAGAAAGCACATCATCGAATGAGGATTTGGCAAAAATTGAGACCAAAGTTGAACGAGTCGGACGCGACGAATATGCATTTTCTGGTACATTGGTCATTAATTATGATATGGATGAGACTACTATGGTGAGTGCCATTAGTATGAGCAAAGAAAGTCAGCTTCTATATCATTGTTATCCAGGTGGAAGCGTGGGGCTATCGCAGCTCGTCGGGCAGCGAGGACGACTACAAGCTATTGCCCTGGGCCATACAGAAGCAAACATTTGAAAAGTTTGCCAATGATTATTATGAGAAGTTGTTCTTTAACAATTTGCACCACTGTTCCAATATACCGGAGACAAAGGACGTATATCCCTGGCCCAGAGGCACCTACACCTTCGACAAGTGCGTCGTTGTTGGCGATGGAATGCCCGAAATAGCGCCCGAAGGCTACTACAAGGTATTCTTTGAAGTTACCGGGGAATGCCGTATACTTTTCTCGGCCATACTACAGGTGACGACCAAAACTGCAGTGCTTGGTTGAAAGGCCATGTAAACAATGTATGAAAGTCTATTAAATATGAATATAATTAAAGATCAAGCATTATAAAAAGTCTATAGTCTATAGTCATTATATTTGCTTACCTAAAAAATTTTGTCTATTTCATTAACTTGTATCATTTGGAATAGAATAGGTACAATGTATATATATATATATATATATATTGATATATATATATATATATATATATATATATATATATATATATATATACGATAGTTTCAGCGCAGTTGGGGAGTGCGGAAGTGGGAGTGCTTGACTAGAAGGTACCCGGAATTTAACCAACTCAATTGCATTTCCAATCATTAAATGCTTCTACTATACATTAGAACAAATTCTACCTAAAGCCTAGAGCTATGGAATATTGTTAGTTTAATAACTTCTAGATCGGTTATCTTAGCCCATCTGTGGCATCTGAGGCAATCTAGTCAAATCTAAAAGCTGCTTAGAGTCTGAGAGCATTTTACAATAATTTAAATACTACATTTGACATCTATATTTAGCTTTCGTGGTTGAATCTAAATGCTAAATTTGGCATTTCTAATTAGCTTTCGTGGTCGTCAAGTTAAACTGCTAAAAAACAATCTGAAAATCGATTATTATCGATCTTTAGCATGTGAGAATAAGAACTAAAGAAACTTGTGCTAAGTTCTATATATAAGAATATATTTATATGTATATATATATATATATATATTCCAAACTTCAAGACTGTAGCTTTTGTAGTTACTCAGATTGACAAAGGGAGAGCCAGACAAAAACATGTGGCTAGATCGACTTAGCGTTTCGTTGTGATATAAGCTTTAAGGCCATAGTCCTAAAAATGTCTCCCTAATTGCTTGTTAACTCGGGCATGTGCCATCGCTGCATTGGCACTAATTGGACTGGTATTTAGGCTCATGTATCTGGGCGAGGTGACATACGATTTTTAGTGATTCGCGTTTCAGAACAACATTAATTAAAACTAAATAATTACAATGTAAATTACATAAGCAACATATATAAATAATGTGCTTGGGCTAGTGTTATACAGAAATGAATATATCTGCTCGACTGAAACACGCGCTCTCTGTGGCCTGTCTAGTGCTCTGGCTGAGCCACAGCTGTGCTGGGAAGGCAAGTAATGAATCGTATAACTTGAACATTCATTCATAATACAATACCTCTGTGTTCCTAAATAACAGCGCAACTGGGACTATGAACCATTATCGGTAAATTTCGAGACTACAGATGCAAGCATGCTGAATGTGGTTTCTAGCGTTGAGCGTGTGGGCCGCAGCGATTATGCGATATCAGGCACTTTAACAAATAATGAAGATATGGATGAGTCAACGATGGTGGGTGTTAACAGCTTCGTATGCTACGTGTAGCTAGTAATATATCTTTAAAATTTGTTCAGATCGAGGCCCTGTGCTATCGCAGTTCATCGGGCGCCGAGGATGACTATAAGATTTTGCCCTTTAGCATACCAAATCAGCCGTTCAAAGATTTCGTCAAGAGCTACTACAAGGACATCATATATAAGAGCTTTCAACACTGCTCGAATGCGCCACCACCCGAAGAGGCATATCCCTGGCCCAAGGGCGACATTAACTTCGACATGTGCTCAACAAATGGCGAGGGTTTGCCTGAAAACTTACCGGAAGGCTACTACAAAGTCATTTTCAAAATCACTGCTAGTACCCAAATAGTCTATACTGCAATTATAAAGCTGACAACCAAATTGATGTGAACGGACCAGAGATGAGTAACAATAATAGCCCAAATATCAATATTATATATGAATATGATTGAAACATTTTTAAGTCGAATTTAAATATATTAAAAAATTTTGTTTTGTTCATTAATAAAATTAAGAGTTGATCAAAAGTGAAGAAATATATATTTAAGTGATCATATGATTATATATGTATATATATATATAAATATATATATATAAATTTCACTTAATATGTCCCAATAGACATTTGCTTTGCCAATTACTATTTGTTCAGTTGCATGGCTAATGTCTTGGGTTGATTGTCAGATAGTCTCAAACTATCTATTGGCTGAAAGTTAGGTAGAGTTTGTAGCTAAGAATGGAGACAATTACTTTAATCAAATAGATTCATTAACTTTGATTATAGAACACTCAACGACCTAGTTAAATGCGCAATAAATAATAATTATTTCATATATATATATTTAACACAGATTTTCGATTAGAAAAACAACAGTTATTACGTTGATACCTGTTATAATTAAAACAGACTTGTTAGCAAGCAACAGAAGTTCCCATTTAACGATATCGGATTGAATGTCATGTTCGCTGGACATGTTAAAAGCTAGTTAATATGGCGAATGCCTTAGGATCAAGGAGAGTAAATTACTATATACATATCATATGATCTAATATTGCTGCTATATAAGCCAACAATGTATGGGGCCAAAGTTAGAAGTTGAATTCTGCTAGTTAGGAGTATGTATTCTTGCATTATTGCATTATTTTTGCTCTCAATAAGCTGCAGCGGAGAAGTAAGCATAGTTTAATATAAATATATATATATATAAATAAATATATATATGTATATATGGATATCTCTAAAGCCTCCTTTTCTTACAGCGCTCATGGGAGTATGAGGCTTTGTATATACATGCGAGCACATCGGATGAATCCCTACTGGAGTTCAAGGCGGAAGTTGTACGCAAGGGACGTGGCAGCCCCACCATCTCAGCCGTCTTAGACATGCACTACCAAATAGACGACACGACTATGGTCAATAATAGCAGCCATTCAATATATCGATAGTTAATATGTATTTGCACACAGATGGAGGCGAGCATTCAGCAGAGTCAAACGGGCAGAGACGATGATTACCGGCAGATGCCTTGGAACATAGACAAACAGCCGTTTCCCAAATATCTCGAGGACTTTTACAAGGATGTCCTCTATGCCAATGTGGGACACTGTTCGAATTTGGTCGAGCCTGGCAATGAAATTCCCTGGCCAATGATAACGTACAAGTTCGAGAACTGCATTATCACCGGCGACGGATTGCCCGAAATAGCGCCCGAAGGATATTATAAGGTATTCTTTAATGTTACTGGCGAGGTTGACTGGGGCTTTGTGCTCGGCTTGAAGATAGTCTCTAAATCGAATACGATGGGTTATTAAGTTAATACATACTTCTCTTTTCTTTCTGTCTTATATAATAAACTAAAGATTTTTCAATAAAAATGCTAATAGTTGAAGAATGAAGTTGCCTTTTTTTGAGTCGCTTTAAATAACTTTGAGCTTATAATCGACATCTGTAGACAGTCGGAGTATTAAGATAAGAGCTTAAGTTGAGCTGAATCTTGGACATTTCGACAATCTATATACAATTTTGGGTCAACCTGCAAACTATAAAGTTTTTACTTCCCTACAATAGTTGTTGCTATATGATCTATATTTTTTAATACATCTAATTGAATACATGATGCCAAATTACACATTTGAAGACTCTAGCAACAGACGGATATAATATAATATATATAAAAATATTTATTATTATTTATTTATTTATTTTATGTGTGTGTTATGTAATATACATATATTGTGCTGTTATAGCACGGCTTAATTATTGCTGAATCAGATAAGATGTCATGTTCGCTACTTGTTAATTATCCAATACTTTCTGACCAGCTGGAATGGATTGCTATAAAAGCTCAAAATGTAATGAGTTTGGCATCAGATCAAAAAGCGAAAGTCTAACGGCTGGGGAAATGTATATTCCATCAATTCTTTCATGGATTTGTGCAATATTTTGGCTCACAACGAGCTGCAGCGGGAAGGTAACTGTTTATAAATTTCTATAGGGCATCTCTTTAACTGTATCCTGCAGAGTACTTGGGATGCTGAGACACTGTTCGTGAACAGCACCAGTTCGGATGAATCGTTGTTGGTGTTTACGGCCGAAATTGTGCGCAAGGGACGCGAGAAGCCCACGTTCTCAGCATTGTTAGACTTCCATTTCCAAGTGAATGACTCGTCATTGGTCAGTTATCTAACGCATTATTGAATATTTACTTAAGTTCAGCTGTTTGCTCACAGGTCGAGGCGTTAATCTACCATAGTCAAACGGGCGGCGAAGACGACTACAAGCAGATGCCTTGGAACGTGCCGCAGAAACCTTTTTCGGAATTCATGGCCGAGTTTTACAAGGATATGCTCTATGCCAATTTGGGTGAATGCTCGAATTTGGCAGAGCCTGGCAAGGAAATTCCGTGGCCTATGATAACATATAAGTTTGCTAATTGCGCGGTTACTGGAGAGGGAATGCCCGAAATAGCACCCGAAGGATACTACAAGATATTCTTCACTGTGACGGGCCAGGTTGACTGGGGCTTTGTCTTCATCATGAAGATTGTCTCCAAAACAAATGCGATGGGCTATTAAGCTTTGAAAATTGTTTAAAAAGTGAAAAATTTCATTTAAATAAAGAGTATTTAGTAAAATAGAAGATATCTAAAGATAGATTGGCATATTTATTGAATTTATAGAGATGAAATATGTTATAGACTGGAGCATGCTGGTGAACTATGCTGGTGAAGGTAGCTTGAAGTCTTGTGGATGCCATTGCAGCAGACAATTGCAGATATTTTAGATAACAATTCCACTGACAGAAAAGCTGTACAACTTATCGATTATTCCAAATATTTCTTTCAATTTATCGAATTCGTAAATCAATGTATTTGCAAATTTATTAAAAAAAAGACCCCAGCTGAAATGAGTTGTTGGAATGCCACAAATTCAAATTAAACTGAATCAGATTGAATGTCCTATTCGTTTAACATGTTATAAGCTTGTTAATTGGCGAATTGTTGTCCATCTAGATAGACAAATAGGCTATATAAGCTCACAATAATATATGATTCGAGGTAAACCAGAGAAATGAATATACAATCAACTGTTTCAGGGATCGCAGCAATATTGTTGCTCCATCTGAGCTGCTGCTCAGCAGTAAATATATTTACAAATTTAATCTGGGATAACTTAATTTATTTTCTCTCTTAGCGTCTTTGGGACTTTGAACCCATGTTCGTGAATACAACATCAGCGGATGAGTCGTTAGTCCAGATTCATGCAGAAATTGTGCGCAAGGGACGCGAAACACCTTCCATCTCAGGAACATTGGATTGCCAATATCCATTAGATGAGACGACTCTGGTCGAGGCCGTAGTCTATCGCAGTCAAACGGGCAGCGAAGACGATTACAAGCTGACGCCGTGGGGCATACCGAGGAAAACATTTACGGAATACATGAGAGAATACTACAACAATATGATCTATCCCAATTTTGAGGGCTGCTCGAATTTGGCAAAGCCTGGCACTGAAAATGCCTGGTCAAAAGTCAATTACGTATTCGACGAGTGCATTCCCACTGGCAAAGGACTGCCTGAGATAGTGCCCGAGGGATATTATAAGATTCAATTTACTGCCACTGGCAGAGTTGAATGGGGCTTTGTATTCGTCATGAGGATTGTCTCCAAAAGCAACATGATGGGTTATTAAATTGAACTTGTCAGTTAAATATCTAATTCAGCATAGAACTTTTATTAAAAATAAGAGTATATTTGAAATTTATTAAGTTACTATCGATCAATATTTGACAAACGTAAGCAAATTATATATGTGTGAACTGATCAGCTCAACCTATATTTTTTATGTATTCAGCTCAATCAACAATAGATAAATATCGATATTTAATAAACATATGCATATTACTTATCGAATGTGAATAGGGAATGATGGAATCGAAATATATGTATTTGGTGTTTTTTTATTGTATCGATATTTATCGATTTAAACATTTGATCGAAAACGTTAAATAAGCAAATCGATAAATATCGAAATATCAAAATGGACACAGGAACATAACCAGTTATAAATTTCATATGTATATATATTGAAATCATTTACTGAATTGATAAATCAAAAGCGGAAAGTATGTTTCTAAAAATTTTTCAGTCCGACAACAGAGTCGTTGACATGACATATAGCCAACAATTACAATAATCAGATGAATGTAATGGGCATGTTAACCACCAACATTGCAAAAACTGTTAAAGATCTACAAAATAAACGTGCAACATTAATGGAATCAGATGATACCAGCTAAGCCATATAAAAAGTATAAATATTTTAGGTACTGCTTAAAAATGTACATTAAAAATGTGTGTGACTACAAGGCTAGTCGCATTTTTGTTCCTGCTCGAATGTTGTCTTGGTGCAGTAAGTGAAAAGTGAATATATATATATATACACATCAATATATCCAGGATAATTATGCAATTATTATTATTAAAGCGCAACTGGGTGTACGAGCCACTCTCTGTTGAAGTGAAAACCTCGGATCCAACAAAACTAAACATTGAGGCGAAATTGGATCGAATTGGACGTGATTTCACCATATCAATCACATTGGATTGGAACTACGATGTAGACGAGACGACAATGGTAAACATTTTTTTAAAGCATATCAAGTTTATATATTTTATAGAGTTTACTTGTCAGGTCGAAGCTTATAGTTATCGCAGCGCTTCAGGGAATGAGAACGATTACACGCCTCTGCCATGGACCATGCCCAGGCAGACATATAAAAAATATACCGAAACCTACTATCAGAACATAGTCTATAAAAACTTAGCCAACTGCTCAAATCTGCCCAAGCCCGACAACGTCGATCCTTGGCCCCGAGGACAGTACATATTGGACAAGTGTGTGGCCAATGGCGATGGATTACCAGAAATTGCGCCCGAAGGCTACTATAAGGTTATATTTCAGGTGTTCGGTGAGGTTGACTGGGAATTTCTAGTAATATCCAAACTAACGAACAATAAAAATATTCTTGGTTGAGAGAGAGAGAGAGAGAGAGAAAGAGAGAGACAGAGAGAAGTGTGAGATTGGAGTACTATGGAGTATATATAGATTATATATTTATTAATTATCTGAATGTTGAATTAAAGAAAATGTTGACTTTGTTTGCTTTCAAATATGGAATTGTAGCTAAGCTCGCGACTTAGACGCTGTTCGGACAATGGAAGGAGTAATTTAAAATCAAAATAATCTATTTAATCCTAACACTGTCTGATAGTTGGGCAGGTATACAGAAATCGAATATTGAGTCCAGTTTTCAAATGGATTAAAGAGTGGGAAAAACAGACCGAGCCTTGAGTTAAGACTCGGCTCATTAGGCATATTTTCTGTTCAACTGTGAAAGGTTTAACTGGATCAATTGTGGGCGTAACGTAATGCCTGCTGTGCCGCATTCCAGGTGAGTTTTACATTTGAAGGGCCAAATGTGGCAGGCAGGTAGAGAAATTAGTGTGCGGCAGCTGTTGCCAGTTGCCAGTTGCAACAGCAGCAACAACTCAACGTTAGATCGAGTGTGAAATTGTCAAGACATGCTCGAAATAGTTGTGGCAAAAAGTGTTAACAGTGAGACGGGCGAAAACAGGCTAACGGTAAACTTATATATATATATATAAATGTTGGAGTGGCTTAAAAAAAAAAGGAAAAGTCTAACAAAAATGTCGCTGTGCAAAATGCAATTCGAATCGCATTTCAAGTGAAAACTTGGCGCAGTTGCTAACTAATTTATTGCAAATTGTTAAAGCGCTGACGAGGACCCAAGTTGCCGCTGCTGTTGCTGTTGCAGCTACTTTGTTGATATTGTTGCAAGTTGCTGCTGCTGTTGCTGCTGCTTGTGTTGCTGCCCGCTGGGGCCTGTCAGGCTGCTGACAGGCGCATTGGCAGTCGGCGCAGCGTTTCGCGTCTGTTATTCATATGAGTGTGCATGGAAAATGCCGTTGCAGTGCCATTAGAGTGGACCCAAAAACAAAAACTCAAACATTTGGCATTTGAATTAGTTTAGCTTTAATGAGCTAAAATCGCTGCAAGTTAAGCAGTTTAAGACATTTATGAATGCAGTTTGTAAAGTTACTTCAAGTGAGTTAAGCTAAACAAGTTAGTTATGCTTAAGTTTGGTTCGGTCAACACTTACCAACACTGGTTTATAACTATTCATATTATAATTTTTTGTTCAATGGTCTCTCAGCTGATTTGATCTATGATTTATTAAATGATTAAGCTTATCTCCTTTTCCGGCAGCCTGTATTATTAAATGGCGGATGCGCTTTCCACTCCATTTCATAAAGAAATTTACTTTTTTCAAATCCTTTAACAACACTGGCTTTTGAGCATCAACTTATGGCATAGGTTAACATTTATGTCTAAATGTATGTATGAAGGAACTTTTCTTTATACTTTTTCTTAAAGGAAATCACATTTTCTGCTAGCATTTACCAACACTGTAATTCGAGCTTATAGATATTCATAGTATATGTTATCCACTGATGTTTTCTATGTGTTATTATGTGCCAGCCTTTCCTTGACCTTCCTTGCTTCTTTATTCATCTGAACATTTTCCGTTTCACATAGTTGACATTAACTTTTTTGGCTTACTCAACACTGTAAGTTAACTATGGTTCAGCCTAATGTGAAAAGTTTCCATTTCGACAATTTGCATGCACACGCATGTGGCAGTTGCTGTTGCTGTTGAATTGCCTGAATTTCGAACACGAACGAGCGAACGTACGAACATTTTACAGCGTCTGACAATATCAAATTGTTATCTGGCATAAAATAATTACAGCGCTTTAATGCAGACAAAATAGTTGCCGCTGCTGCTGCCAGCCAAAACTGTTGTTATTTCTTTTTTTTTTGTATCGCCTGCCAATTTCGAGTGGCAATAAAAGCGCGTGTGCGCGAGATTTGAGCGCGACGATAGGCAGCGGGAAAGGCAACAGCAACGGCAATGGCAACGGATATGTTGCCTGGTGGCAGTTGAAACTGCGCTAATTAACCAAAAACGCAGCCAATTAGTTTTTGGCCAACACCGCAGAGCAAGTTAGTTAAAGGTGTAGCAAAAGGTGCAACTCGAGGTGCGCTGAATGCAAACGTGTTGGCATGTGTCAAATATATAAATGAAAAACTTGTTAAGCGAGTCGAGTCACCGAATTAGTGTTGTCAGTGCGTATGTGTGTGTGTGTGTGTGTGCTTGCGCCAGTGTTGTACAAGTGCCGATAATTATTATGTGCCATCTAATAATTGGTTAGCCAACCAGGCTAGCATATTTAATAGCCATGCAAAACTGTTATACGATGAGCTATTATTAACGTTTTTTTATTAGCATGTAAATGCAGGTAGCGCAAATATATATTAATCTGATTTTGCAGGTAAACATAATAACACATATGATGCAGCTAGAGAGTAAGCTTTAATATGAGCTACGTGACCAGTTGAGTTAGCCAAATAGCTGAGGATAGTCAGATCAGTCGCTGTAAACATGTTGAACTTAAATAAATGAATATATATTTTCATTTAGATCATTTCTCAAACTGCCCTCGTATGGTAAATCTGCATGAGTTTCTTGAACTTAAAGACAATTTATGTTCTTAACGTAAAAAGTAATAAAGATAAAATTCACACAAATTAATATCTCTGATTGCCCTTAATAGCCCTTAGTTCTTATCTACAATCTAGCCATATCCATACTATATAGCTACCTTTTTAACTGTAAAGCTAATGCTTACCCCATGAGCGTATACATGAGGTAAGTTCAGAAAACAATTCATTGACTATAGTTTTATCTTAGTTCCATAAAGATCCAATACTGAAAAACTATCATCAGCATTCATGCCTTTAACTTTATGCACTTTAACAACACTGCTCATCAGAAAGGCAGCCAGGCAGCTCACACTTTGCAACACTGTTGCGTATTTGCAAATAAAATCAATTTCGTACGCAAAGAGCTTTTGCATATCAGACAAGAACAATGCCGGCTAAAATAAACAATCGAGCAGAGGAGACAAAGAGAGCGGGAGAGAGGGGAGTGAGAGCAGAGGAGTATAGGTTGTACGACTGCAAAGCTTGTTAAAATTCATGTAATGCATTAACTGAGAACAACAACCACAAATTACACAGTCCAACTGGCCTGGCGGGCCATCAGTCTGTCTGGCTGCAGTCGACAGACTCGGCGAACCAGGGGCCAGGGTATTTGGCCAAAAAGCAATGTCCAAACGGTCGACGGGTTGCAATGAAAAGGCAATTAAAGCGCAGCGGGCACAAACTGAAACTCAGGCTGAAATACTGAAAAACCAGAGACCAGAGACCAGAGATGGAAGCCAGGCACTGACTAGTTGCAGTTGTTGCTTGTGTTTGTGTTGTTGTTGTTGTTGTTGCAGCAATCAATTGCATGCTTCAATGGACAAATATATGAGCGAGCCAGAGAGGTAGAGTGAGACAGGGAGCGAGTGCCACAGATAGACATGGCTGATATGAGCAGCCAAACGCTTCGTCGTCAACGCCGTTGTCCATGTCGGACAGTTGGACAGACAGACAGACAGACAGACGTATGGACAGCTACGCCTAGATGGACTCAACTAGATAAAGGCCTTGCCTTGCCTTGCCGTGGCTTGGCTTGCCATCAACAGCCAGCACCAAACAAAAAATATAAGAAAATCAACCAAGAACGTTTCGAATGGGCAATAGCGACTACTTAATACTCGCTCATGGTACAAAAACTGATCGAGCTGCTTGCAAAATTTTTCAATTTCCCGTTATCTGTGGAACTATGCAACATTTGGCTGCGGTTATTTACACTTTATATGCCACGTCTCTAGCTAAAAGTTTTATTTTAGAAAAACCAAACTCAATATACCCGCTTCCTATTTCATTGAACGAGCATAATGAAAAACAGTATGCAGTTGAATTTAGCTAGACCCAAGAGTCATGCTCTCTGGGTCTCGGGTCTTCAATCTTTCTGGTCTCCAGACTCTAGTCTATGGCGCGATTGCGATTGCCTTTTGCGCGTTTGCGTTTGCGTCTTCATTCGCTGTTCGTTTGCCGTCAAGTGGAACGGCAAAGGAAAAAGAAAAAAGAAAAAACTTGTTAACTTTTCCAATAGCTAGCAAAAGGTTCGACGACGACGGCGACGAATGAGCCACAACAGAGGCCAAAGCCGCGCCACGTTCAAGTCAATCAAGCGTCGTCAGACGTTTGTGCTGCATGCCGCATGCTGCATGCTGCATGCCTCATGCCGTTGCACTCTCTGCCATTCCAAGGCGTCAATTAATCAAGTGCGGACCCAGGCACAGCCACAGCCACAGCCACAGCAGCAGCAGGCATAATCATTGCAATCAAGTCATTTTTACCTGCATTCACAAACGTCGAGTGCACGTTTAATTGTCACTTGACAGCAATTAACACAAATTTCTACGACTTTTTCGGCTCAACGGTCCCAATTTGAGTTGAGTTGCCAAAATACAGATTTTTAATTGATCTCTGAGCTTCGCCTCTATTTGTTTATCGATTGTTTGTTTCTTTTAATTATACATTTGGAGTTTGCATTTGAACATTCCTTGATTAAGTTTCATAAATGAACTCGACTAAATTCTTATCTAACTCTCTCAGGTAATAAAATGTTTTAGTAAGAGCATAAAATAATGAAAATTACTTTTGATTGCCATAGTCTCTTAACCCACTATTCCCAAAGCCTCAAAAGTAAAGTACCTTGGTATCACTCTTGACAGAAGGCTGACTTTTAAAGCGCACATAAGTCAAGTAACCTCAAAATGCAAAAGCAAGCTAAAAACCCTCGACTGGATGCTGAGAGCTTCAAGCAAGTTGTCTTACAGCAGCAAGGCCGCCATCTACAAGGCAATAGTTGTCCCAACCTTCGTATATGGTATCTCTCTATGGGGCTCCTCGGCGAAGACTACAAGGAACAAAATTCAGACCCTGCAGAATAAAGCACTACGCAGATGGACTGGAGCCAGCTGGTTTGTAAGAAACTCAGTCTTACATAGGGATTTAGCAAT